TCTCTCCGACCAGGAGGAGGAAGATGCGGTTGCCGCGGCGACGGCGTCTGCGTTCGCAGGCTCTCGTCTCTCCGACCAGGAGGAGGAGGAGGCGGTTGCCGCGGCAACGGTTTCCGACTCCCGCAGCTCGCGCCGCTCCGACGAGGAAGAGGGCGCGGTTGCCGTGGCGACGGCCGCGCTTGCGATGCAGATGGAGCGAGCGTTGGCGACCTCCAGCATCCCCTACGCAGACGACGACGACGACGACGACGACGACGACGACGACGACGGCATCAGCGTGTCTCAGGAGATCGTCATACGGAAAGGTCACGTGAGCAGCATCCGCTCTCGATTCGAGCGCGCGGAACCGCGATACTCCCCTCCTCCTCCTAGCAGCTAGTAGTTATTGAACGGTCGATGTCCGCGCGTGAGTAACAACGATGCCACACCTCGCCGTGCCGCACGTACTGAACGTTGGGCCGTGGCGAAAACGAACTTACATACGCGGTTGGTTACTGTGAGTCCGTTGGCTGCGGTGGAACTCTCCCCAGCATGAGAGTTTGAGATGGGTATTGGGTACATTTCGGACGAATGTACCTTGGGCTCAGCAGGCGGCCTGTAATGGCAGAACACGACACGTGAGCACCCTCTATTAGGAGAATTCAACAATGAGGCGCCCTCTAGTGGCAAAACACAACACTCGAGCGCCCTCTATTAGGAGAATTCAACAATGAGGCGCCCTCTAGTGGCAAAACACAACACTCGAGCGCCCTCTACTAGAAGAATGCAACATTGAGGCGCCGCCTAGTGTCCGTGAATCACACTTGACCAAAGGAAACTAGTGCTAGTCGATATTTATTGCCAATAAGTATAATACTCGAATCGAATATATCGAATGCTGTCAACCGAGGCAGGTCACCGATGCGATGACGTCAATTCCGCGTGCGGTGACCTCGCGCTGAGGATGACGGATGACTTTTGATAACCTTGAATGTAGCTGTACGATAGGTCGATACGCGACGCGATACATAGATGATAGATCCTTGTTGTTGTACGACTGCAAGATTGTGCGTGGTGTTGTTTTTATAAGAAGCGTGTGAGCGTGAGTGAGTGAGGGGGTTTGACGAGAGCGTATTTCTCCCCTTTCCTGCGTGTGTGCATTGTTTGTGAGTGTTTGTGAGTAGTGAGCGTGTATTTTGTCGCATCGATCATCGCTGTCACATCAATTCATCATGACTGCGTGGTTTACTGTACGTCGCGCCGATACTCGGTGGAACATAAACATGTATATATGTACGTGTATATACATACATATATGTACATGTGAGTGTGTATATATATATATACATACACGTACACCCTCGCTTCCCTCCCCGCCTGCCCTCGCCCCCCACCCCCAGCTAGCTACACGCCACCTCCCACCGTAGAGACAAGAGGATGACAGTGTCGCCCCTGGAGAGTGTCGCCCCTGGAGAGTGTCGCCCCCTGGAGAGTGTCGCCCTCTGGAGAGTATCACCCCCTGGAGAGTGTTGCCCCTGGAGAGTGTCACCCCCTGGAGAGTATCGCCGCGAGCGTGCCCACGTTAAGTAGTATCAGGGGTTAACAATGCCAAATAATTATTATATTATAATTATATTTGTCATTATTAACTCGTGGTAGTATCGTGTGGTGAATTTGCATTTGCGTTTCGGTAGTGGCGCATAGCTGGGACTTAGCATGTGTGGATTGTGGCGCGTAGGTAGGCATGGGGGGGGGGAGTCTGAGTTTACTGCAGTGGGCGCCGGGCTTCTGTCTATGTTTGGCCGTCGTACTCAGAAATAATTCTCTTATCTTACTTTATCTTTAGCCTTGTTACACACAATTTTATGTAACTGCGGCTGGAATATTTTTACCGCGGTTGAATTGTGTAACAAGGCCTCTGATTTGGTAAAAGGGCCATAATTTTTGCTATCATTACCCAAACTTACCTACAATGTCCCTAACTCGAACCCTGATCTTAAACCTAATCTGAATCTTAGTCCTAACCTAAGATATTTAGATATTTACCTAAATATCCACCTAAGATCTGAATCTTAGCAGCCTTGTGCTGCCCCCTGGTAGGGCATTATGTACTATCTATTTATATTATGTGCATGTTTTGAACTTGTGTTGCTCCTGCTGCTGCTGCTGCTGCTCTGTTATTATTCATGTATATTATGTATAGCTTATTCAGTATTATTTAATTATTTATTATAATTATTAATTATTTTTCCCTTATTAAAAGTATTAAAATCTGAGCGGGTGCTAATGATGTATGTAGATGTGAATGTCGGTATAAGGTATCTAAAATTAATTAAAACTAAAGTAATTAAAACAAACTGAAAATAATATTAAAGACACCTTATATCTATGTTTATGTGTATGTATATATATATACATAGGCCTATATATATGTATATATATTATTATATCAGGAGTCTTATCAATAGACTTTAATCAATCAATAATCTATCTATTGATAGACTCCTGATTATATGTATATATATTATATATATATATATATATATATATGCGTGTATCTCGTCAGCGGTTATTGCTCTCTGTATGTGCACTTCATGATGTTTTAGCCTGTAGTGGCGGACAGGACACCGACTTGTATGCATTTGTTATGCTATTGGAAGTCGATCGAAAGCCGTTCTGATTAGATTGTTCTCTCCTCTTTTTTCTCTTTCTTGCTCTCTCCATCTTCTCTATCCTCGCCCCTCTCCCTTCTCTCTCTCTCCTCTCTCTCTCTCCTCTCTCTCTGCTCTCTCTCGTTCTCTCTCTCTCTTCTTCTCTCTCTTACTCTCTCTTTCCTTCTTTTTCTTTTCTTTCTTTTTTCTCTCTCTCTCTCTCCTCTTTCCTCTCTCTGCGCTCTCTCTCATCCGTCTCACTCTCCTCGTTCTCTCTTCTGTTGGCGCTCTCTCATCCCTCTCGCTCTCTCTCTCTCTCTCTCTCTCTCCGTCTATATCTCTCTCTCCACTCTCCCCTCTCTCTCTCTCTCACTCTGTCACCCCGTGATTTCCTACTCTGAGGGATCTATCGTCGACTGTGTTGTGACTGATCCATTATACATGAGCTATCGCCATGGCTCTTGTGCTGGACGTCGATGCTTCCCTCCTCTGATCTCTCCCTCCTCTCCCTCCCTTCACCCCTTCATCCTTTCCTCTTTTCCCTCCCCGCCCTTCCCTCCTTCCTTGTCTCTATTCTTTCGTCCCTCCCTCCCCATCTCGCATTTTCCTCCTTTCCCACGCTCCCTCCGCTGCCGCACCCTCCTTTCTATTCCTCATATCTTCCTCCCTTTTCCCACACACAACACACCGCACACACGCACGCGCAGCACACGCACACCCAAAACACACAACACACACAACCACACCACACGCAGCACACACACGACACGCGCAGACCACAACGCACGCGCGACACCACGCGCACGCGCGCACACACACACGCACGCGCCACCACACACAACCACACACACACACATCACACGCACACACACCACGCCGCGCAACACACACGCACGCGCAACACACGCACGCGCGCACACACCACGCACGCGCGCACACACACACACCACACACGCATGCGGCGCACCACACACGACACACACACATCACACACAACACACAACACCAACACACATCACACACACACACAAGGCATGTAGATAGCCGTGCAGCTGTGTGTGGCTTGAGATGCAGCACTTGCGCTCTAGCTGTACTAGGTCTGCCCGTGAAATTCTCAATGACAATGCGAGGCAAGCGAATGCGAGCGCCAGGGGACATTGACCCTCGTCACTATCCACGCAGACGAGAAATGTATGAGTGTGCGAGTTCGTGTGGCGCGTGACGTGCCGTGCGTGCGTGCGGTGTGTTCGCTCGTGGCGTGGCGTGCGTGCGCCGTGCAGTGCGCAGTGCGTTCGTACAACATCGATCATTACACTGCTTTACAACGGAGCCGTGTCTTCAAACTTTACGTGACAAAATTCTCTCTTTTCTGAAGACATTGCTGATCTTTGGCCACTGGTCATGTACAAAGGTATTAATGTTTTTGCGAGAAAACAGTTGTTAGTTTACGAGCGACGGGAAGTTTATGTGCGATCTGTCTGTTTTGCGAAAGCGTACGAGGGGCTGTGTGTGTTGTGTGTGTGGTGTTGATGTGTGTGTGTGTGTGGTTGTGTGTGAAGAGGAGAATGGCAAGCTATATTTGTTATTCGTTATCAACTCATGAGTATCACGCATTGTACGCCGCCATTTTTATAGAACGTTCACTTGTTCGGTTTACATCATCGTAGTTCAGTGGACGTGTGTCAGAACAACTTAGTCTAAACATTTCTTCTAAACGTTTAACTTTTCTCACTATACCCATCATGCAATAACGTATTTACTAGGTTTCTCACCACGCATGTATTAGAGAAGGCGCGTTTAAAGAATAATATTTAACGCTAATGTTAATGCAAATTTTGATTATGCGTCAGACCCGAGGTTTAGTACACACTGATCTTATAGAATAACCACGAGTATTGTCATATATTGAGTTATATACATATATATATACTCATTATATATTATATATATATAATACGTATATAACTATATATACATGGAGAGAGGGAGCCCGTCTTAGTCATTTTCAGATTCCAGCAATGACTTATATTTTATGCTGTTGACGATTTTTTGATAAGAATTATTAGCAAATATTGCGTTTGATAGTTGTTACTTAGTAAACGTAGTTCGCTACTTTAGACTAGCTGTTAGTCGGCACATCGCCGTTTGCCACGTTATTTTATAATATTAGCCAATGCGCAATCGTTCCTTGCATCCATTTATTTATTTTATTTATTTATTTATTTATTTGCCATCGTTGTCACACGAAGACGCTGAAGCGCGTGTGTTTAGAGAGCGCACGTCTTATAGTGAAATGTAGTTATTATTAATATGTGTGCTGCGTGATGTGACATTCAGAAGCGTTCTGCGTAGGAAGCTCTAGTCTTGATGGCGAAGCTCTTATTTAATGGAAAGACAAAAATTCTCTTTTCTCTCTGTGGGATGACTTTCTCATCTTTGCTACAGAAATCGCTGTAATTTTTATGTTCGTGTTGCTGAGGGTTCTAGTCTATGTTCGTGCCTATGACGGTGGATACACCACAGCGGCGCGCACTATAACCCACATGAAACATGATTTCCACCCTCGTCTTGACGCCACTTTCGTATATA